TATAATTTTGATTTGCATGTCCCTGATGTTAAAGAAGATGGACACTTTTTCATATAATCATTGACTACTGATACTCTTTCGAGAAGTGCCTGTTCATTTGTCCATTTCATTTGATTACTTTGTTCTTTTGCTGTGAAATATTTTGTGTTCTTTATACATTGTGGATATTAGTCCTTTGTCAGAAAAATAGCATGCAAAGAACTCCCAGCTCGCAGGATGTCTCTTCACTCTCACAGAAGCTCTTCCGTTTGATGCAATCTCATTTATCAATTCTCTTGTCTCTTGAGCCGTTCGAGTCCTACTCAGGAAGTAATTGCCTATGGCTGCATCTTGAAATGTTTCCCCTGTCATTTTCTGTAGTTATCTCAAAGTTGCAGGTCTTACATTAACTTCTTTGATCCATTTAAGTTGATTTTTATAAAGGTTGAGAAATGACAATCTATCGGTCTTCTCCAGGTGGATTTCAATATTCCTAGCACCATTTGTTAAAGAAAGTGTCTTCTCTTCAACATGTTTTTGATATCTTTCTCAAGAATCAGATAAATACAGCTGTGTAAGTCTATTTGTGGCTCCTCCATTCTGTACTACTTGGTCTATTTTCAGACCAACACTGTACTGCTCTGTTATAATGGCTCTATGGTACATTTTGAAACCAGGTATCATGGGGTATCTAGCCTTATTTATTCATTTTTAGTTAGGATTGCTTTGGTTATTCATGTCTTTTGTGCTTCCGTATGAATTTTAGGGGGTATTTTTAGATCTATAAAGTTGTAGGTATTTTGATGGGGATTGCACTGAATTTGTGGAATGTTTTCTGTGGTGCGGCCAATTTAACAATACTGTATTAGTTCTGCTCATCCATGAACAGAGAGGTTTTTCCATCTTCAGAATATTTTCTTCCATTTCTTCCCTTGATGTCAAGCACAGTTTTTAATGACTACACTCTGCTGAAACAGAAACTGTACAATAGTGTAACCACAGTTGCCCCTGGGCTGCCTGGGGGCTGTAATTACTTGCCCCTCCAACTGCCCTCTTGCCACCTCTAGGTCACTCTCCACACTATGGAGACAGTGACCTTTTCAAATATACTTGTAATTGTCTAATATGATTTGAAATCATTTTGATAGCTCTCAACTGGCAGAGCATGTTTTGGAGTGCTATCAGCAAAGGTAAATGGTACTTGTAACAACCTCTCCAGAACCATACAATGTCATCTCTGGAAAAGTAAAAGGTTATAAAGAAAAATGATGGATTTGTAGATATGCGCTTCCTTTAAAATAAGTAAAAAATAAAGAAAAAATGTTTATTTGATTATGAAAATAACCCTATCAGAACTTCAGAAATATTTATGTAGTAAATATTTACTACAGAGGGTGTGACATAGCTCAGATTAGAAACTGCAGTATCACAATTAAATGTCATATTTTAGTTCTTACAGCTATTTGACCTCTATGTTATCAAGTTTGTGAATGTTAAAGAAAAGGAAAATGTAATTGGAGTCTTATGTATAAGATTTCATATCTAGGCTTTGTTCCGTTGTCATTCTTTGCCAGAGGAGCCCTCCCAGCTAGAAAGACTGGCTGCAGAAGAGACCATAGCTTCTAGCTGTAGGAGCCAGGAGCTAATGTTCTGTCTAACATGACTACTCTGATCAGAACAAGCAGGGGCAGCTATATTAAAAAGGATACTGCTCAGCCTCATCAAACTTAGTTATTTAGAATATCTAAAAGTGAGGTCACAGAATCTACATCTTAAACAAGAACTGCAATGCTCCTTTGACAGCCACCGTCTAATACTTTTTAATTCCAGGACACCAGACAAGTAGGTATAAATTGGGCAATACTAAATACACCATCAGCACCAAGACGAAGACCAAACTAGTTCTCTTTAACAGCCAACAATACCCTTTCTGTCCATTAATAACATTTTACTTTAAACTTCCCTAACCTGGGTCAAGAGTTTAAAAAATGCAGATTATCTGAGCAGGGTCATGCCACATCACACAGAACTAAAAGTAGCAGATCAGAAATAACAATTTTTATTTTGTAGTACTGGGGACTGAACTCAGAACCTTTGAACTGAGCTCTATCTCCAACATTCTAAAATTTTGATTTTGAGATAAGATCTTATGAAGTCACTCAGTTGCCTAGACTAGGCTCGAATTTAGCAATTCTCTTGCCTGAGCCTCCCAGAGTGCTGCGATTACAGGCAGGTATCACCACGCCTTGCTTAGGTCAACACTTTTGCTTAGAGATATGCTGATTTCAAAAATTATTTCTCCTCTTTTCCTAAAAAAATAGCCATCCTGTTACAGCTATGAAATTGTGTGAAAAGGACTTTCACACAACAAACCATGCTTTCCCCCTAAGATTGCGGGTGCTTTCAGAACCAGTGCCACCCTAAAGGTAAGGAGTTCTGATTAGACCTTTTACATTCTAAAAGGTCTCTTAAAAGGTTAATGAGGGTGCTCCTGAGTACCCACCTAGCCTTATGGATCCCTGGTATTTCATCAAGCTTCCCTAAGTTTATTAGAACTAGTCTCTAACTAAATTCATCTCTGAACAAGGGTGCATTAGACAAAACATTAGCTCCTGGCTCCTACAACTAGAAGAGGAGAGCCTTCCCTATGGTCTCTTCTGTAGCCAGCCTCTCTAGCTGGGAGGCCTCCTCTGGCAAAGAATGACAACGGAACAAAGTCTAGATATGAAATCTTATGCCTAACGCTCCGATTACATTTTCCTTTTCTTTAACATTCATAATCTAGATAACACAGAAGTAAAATAGCTCTAAGAACTAAATATGACATTGAGTTGTGGCACTGTAGAGTTTCTAATCTGAGCCATGTTACACTCTCTGAAGACCTCCTCATTCAACACTGTGGCCAACTTTAATAAGCCAATCTTGTAATTTCTGCTGCAGTTATACACCCTGTGTTCTATCTGTTCCCCTAATAAAACCCTGACTAATGTATGTGATTTAACAGATTTTCTTCTGAAATTTTAGAAATGTGTATATTTAAGTACTGATACTTAGCTCTAATTGTTGTCCATATAAAAGAGAATGTACCACTGTACATAGCACACAAACTTACATGCTTTAGAAACACTGCTTGTGTAGTGGAGGATCCAAAGAAGCCTTCAAGAGAAAACCAAACACTTGTAGAAGAAACCATCAAAAGATACAATTTTTCAAGATAGTTCATAGGTAAGAAAACACTTTTTCATTTCCATGTGGCATGCAGGGGTCCATCATATATATGACTTACTCTCTACAGAGTCTATGTAATGTGGGCAGGCACTAATCGTGTCAGTTGTTCTATGAGAAGAACAAAGCAATCACTGCTCCAATGTACTACAGAAGATTAAGGGCGAAAACCATGAGATCAGTAAGGCTGGCCTGACACAGCACTCACTAAAGCAAACCACACACAAAAGCAATATGAAGAAGGGTCCAAAGTTTAAAGGTTTGTCCCTTTTCAGAGTCACTCTAGCTTTCTGTTTACAAGGTATAGCTCTAAAGAGTACAATCACTGTTATTTACTTCCGCAATAATTTTCTAATTTCCACACAAATTCTTACACTTCCACCCTAAGTGATGCCAAAGTGCTTCATTTAGCCTGCAATGCCCTCCTCGCCCTGCCCAGGTTACAAAATGCCACCACAGCCCACCAGCCATCCAGGGTGCCAATGACCCTCAAGGTGCTCCTGAGCATGCTGACAGAATTTGCCAAAACACAGGGCAAAGCCAGGAGGGCAAAGCGGGATTTTAAGAGCACCCTCTTGGTGGTCAACAAGAACAGCTACAGACGTTGCGCGATACCAAGGCCAGAATTCCATTTAGACTCCAATACTTTAAGCCATTGTAAAAGAGAAAGAAAATGGGTATTAGTTCTAGCATAAAAATATTTTTTTTTTAATTTCGTGTTTATTTGTCACATACCAGTGCCTTTTCTTTCATTCCTTTCTGTTTCTGATCTTTCGAGAAACCACATCTGTATCAAATGTCACTTAGCTCTTATTGATACAGAAGAAAGCAGACACAGCGGCTGCATGGTGACTTGGCTGACCTGGGCCCTCAGTAAAAACAAACCTCTATAAATCACCAGATGTAAGCAATTGGATAGTGATCACTTTAATTAACTGAACAGTGTTCTTGAAATTTACTACATAATTTCAACCCTTCCAACACTTTTAGGAGGAGCAACTAACAATAATGCTTTCTTCTTAAGTTGTTTAAAAGGGTTGTTTTTAGCTTCCGTGATTTAAATACTTTTTAATGAATTTAATATTAAGTCATTAAATTACTTAACATTAAACGTTTAACCAGGAACATTCTACATACTGCCTTTAAATGCCATTAAATCAAAATTCTTCCAAAATCTATCTTTAAACATGAATATACATGTGTTATCTTTCCTCTACAATACAGAAGTCATATAATTTTAATTGTATTTGAAAATCTATATTTACAAAACACATGCAATGATATTTCTGACTTCAATCACATACTTTATTTTAATTGCATAAGCTGATGTGTTAAGTAGAGATTCTGAAACCCTAATTTCTGCTATAGACATCAAACTTGCAAGGACACCTCAGTGGTTTGTTATCAACTCAGTTATTCTCACACAAAACAACTCTGAACATGGTTCTCTAAAATCTATGTAACATATAATCCATAGGTACCAAACCAACCACTGAGCAAAAGCAGAACCAAAGTCCAAGTCATATATGAACAAATGTACATCTCCGAGGGTAAAAGTTGCTTCCTTGAATCTTGGAGACCAGTTAAACAATGGAGCCAAGTGTAAAACATGTTACATGTTGAAGGATATTTGAAATTTAGGAGGAACAGTATAGGCTAGAAAACAATTTAACCAATTTAAAGAACCTTTTTTTGTTATACCTTGAAGGAAGTATTCAAAGTGTTTGCAGAGTTTTTTATGCTGTCTATAGGTTCCCTGCCAACACAGATATGAAATTCTGCTAATATTCACTTACAAGGATAGAAGCGTAATATTCACTGAGACTGGGCCAAGATTCGGAATGGTTTCCAATTCATTGTTGTTTAGTTTCCTACAAGTGACAAGAAAAGGGGGGTGCTAATTAGGTGACTTATACTTCAAATAGGTGAAAACTTTACAATCAAGACAGCTCCACCCCCAAAAAAGTGAAAGTAAAAATCACTTCCACATTACAAATTTTGAATAATTTAGTGTCATCCAGATAGTCATAGAGTGAAAGTGAAAGAGGAAGAGAGGGAATAGATTTCATGCAAGTTTCTAGTAGAAAGTAATCAGGACTCACACTTCTCTAAGACGTTGAAGTTGGCTCACAGAACTTGCCTTGATGAAAGATAATTGGTTGTGACTCAGGTCCCTATAAGAAAGCAAAAACAAAATTATAAGCAGTTTCTAAAAATACTGGTGCTGCTTAATGAAATGCAAGACAGACTGAGCTTATGAAATATCTATTAACACTAGTGACAACCAGAGAAATAATTGGTCCATTTTGTCTACAAACTAGATGGAAACGAAAATGTCAAACTCAAAAATACAAACTCTGAGGACAAAATTAGTTTAAGAGGCTGGCAGATTCAAACACTAAGCCCACAAACATTTTAAGAGCTGTTTTTTGGCGCACAGTGAACAGATCTTTTGTGAACTGGTAGTTTTGCTTTGCCCCCCCCCATCTCCCTACTTCCAACCTGATACGATGACATCATAGCTTACAAAAAATAGCTAATTAGGCAGGTTGCTGAAAGGAGAGCCTTGAACAGAAAGGTTTTTATTGTCACAAAATTAAACATCAATGGCCTTTCTACAGTCAAAGAAAAATAGAAATTGCTTTGCATACATATTAGTTTTCTGGGGTGGGGCACAAATTTACAGTATCATGACTGTGTGTGTGCGCAAGTGTGTGTGTGTGTACGTGTGCGTGTGCGCATGTTCACACATTCGTGTAAGTCTATTCAAAACTACCTGAGTCCTCTTTCTTGAATTCCCCAAACCTCAGTAGATGCTAATTTAACATGCAATTTATCTCCATCATCTAACAGTTTTTAGTCAATAAAGTAAACGGACTTCTTTCTACCTTAAAGGCTCAGTCTAACTTAGCAATTAAATAACTTGGTCTACCTAGATTTCCACAGGTAGCGATATGCCTAAAGATAACAAACTTGTTTTTGTACATACAGGAAGCTCGAAAGTCAAGTCAGCATCAAACTTGACAATAGGAAACAAAATCTGGAAGACAGGCTTGATTATATTCCTTAGATGTTTTAATGTCCTTGATTCTACTGCTCCAAAAATGGGGTGATGAAAATGAAGTGGCTAAGCAGCGACTGGGACCCAGACTAATAACCAGGGTGGCTTGATACCCTCCATCGAAAGAGGTAAGCGAACATCAACTGAGTTCTTTCAGTGTTTAACTAAAGTTTCAGTTTTTGGTGTGAAGCTGAAGAGCAGGAACTGTGTTACACGCATGAGTATATGCTCACAAAATAAAAATGGAGAGAAAACAGGTCCAGAGAAGCACAGTGTTACTTAGTGCCTAGTTAACAATTACAAATCAGAGTTCTTTTAGTCTTGCCCAGTTTTTGTTTTGAGAGTAAACCTGAATTTCTCCATTTTACCCTTAAAAAAAAAACTGCAAAGGTTTTATTCAAAATATGTTTGCCTAAAGACCTACCAGACAGCAACAGACATGAGTAGATTTGTTCTGGTAGAGTTATAACATGAAAAAAAAAAAAAAATCTGGCACAGACTTTAAACTATAAAAATCCTGCAATTACAACCACTGCTGTGCATGCTCGCTCCGCTGGCTGGAGCCAGACACTTTCCCTCACAGCCCCGGTGAAGTCCATCTGGAGTTCATCAAGGAAACCGTGAGCCCAGCAACTCACGTTAGGACTCAGACAAAACCTGTGTGCTCTTAGCACTCCAGACGGTCACGGATTTCCCACATGGTTTAAAAAACAACCAAGAAAAGAATTCTTCACCTGGGAGGTGGCCTGAGTCTGCGGCCTCACTTGGACCCACTTAATTCAGGAACATTGAACCTGCAACCCCTCTCCTCCAGGGTTTCAAGTTTTAAAAGCAAAGCAGGAGGAACCAATGTGACATTTAAGTTGAATGCAGTGATTTGCCTTTTAGTTAAAAAAAAAAGAAGAAGAAAAAAAAACTAGACTAAACCGGCCATCTCCATTTCATGGTAAGGATTATTTCACAGGGCAACAGCATGTGAAATGAGATGGAGTGTTTCACTCTCTGCCACTAAGGGGATGAGAGTTCCCCCAAGAAAAGACCCTTAAAATGAGAAACTGCTTTCAGAGACAGGTACACACGCTGCAGACCACTCATTCCAGATCCAGAAGCAGGAACTGGCAACCTTAAATATTTCAGTGATTGCAACACACTTCCATTCCTGAGTTTTGTGTGCTATTAAAACCACAATATATATGGGAGAAGGAAAAGAATCAACCCTTAAGTGACTTTTACTGCTAAATACTTAAAGCCATGAAACTTTTAATGTACCTAAATTTAGATTTAATATAGTTTACATTTCAGAAATGATTACTTTCCTGTTAAAGGATGTCATATTTTCCTAAATCTTCCTTATATTGTTTTTATGGTTAAACCACTAAAGAGACTCAAGTTATACGATGCTGATGTTCTCTTAGAGCCAGAACATGAAACAGTCAGTAAGGAAGGCAGATTTTTCATTTACGGATTCTTACTAATGAACATCCTCCCCAGAACACATTTCTAAAAAATTGCTGTAGTGAGACTAACAAATGGGAAGGGGGATGGGATGGGGAGGTGTTAACTATTTATAAGGTACATAGCTACCTAAAATCCTTGAAAAATCAAACTGTAGCGAGAAGTCTTTCTTTATGAATAATAAATTTACAACATGTGGTTCCAGCTATTATTTTCTTCCTCTCAGCCTTTGGAAATCTGACTTCCAAGTCAAATTTTAAAATGCAAATACAGCACAGCTTCTTAATCAATCCCACTGGGGCCTGCAGAGCTGCTAATTCAGCAGAAATCTGGCAAGCTGAAAAACAAAAAGCCAGGCTGTAGCTGTTTTAAGACACTGATCCAGAGTGACTCATAAATCAGCCAGCTATGTTCAAGTTGTAGTCTGGAAAATATAGAAAAACAGCTGTGAAAACCATAAGGACTATTACCTTTACCCCACCCCCAACTCCAGTACAGACCAGAAGATTTATAACAAGCCAACGCTACAAAAGTCACACCAGCAGAAACCACCTTCCAGGCTTCACCTGAGCTCCGTTGAGAATTCAAACATTTCTATCTGATAAGATAAACAGTTCTGAAAGTCTAGTGAGAATTTAATAATAATTGAAGCTCTCTTTGGCACCTGAACCACCTTTCCCTGGTCTGGCTAAATAACATTCTAACAAGCACCCTCTTTAGGTTCCAAACTCTGTAATCACAAACTCTAGGCCAGTCTCCAAATAGGTACAGTTTTTACAGCCACTTTCATTAAAGTATTAGAGGTTAACTTTTTCAAATACAGAGTACAGTACTATTATTTTGTACCCTCAAACTATTCAACTTTTTACTTATGGGGATCCGTGGGCAATAAAGTCTAATTGAATAAAGTGGGGAAATATACATACACATAGTTTTATATTTTTAACTTGCAAATCGAACAAATGAAACAAAAGAAACGTTTTACTTATTCTACAGAGTACTCTCACAAACTAGTTCAAAGATGAACTTTTAGTATTTAAAGGATGGAATAAAAGGGAAAGAACAATATGGATTTTGCTACTTAGTTCCTGAGTTTTGCAATTGCCTACCTAAGAGCCTGTCCAATTAGGTAAAATTTAAGTAACAGCCCACAGTCTCTGACACCTATTCCAACACACAAAATAACGATTTGTTCTTTCTCTCCAAAGTGGAGGAGAGATCTCTCTAGGGCTTTAAGAACAGACAAAAGAAACATTTACTAAAAGGAACTTCGACCACATGGCTTGGGGACACCTACAAAGACGGTCAGAAGTCACAGAAGTACAAGAATGACAGAGCTGCTCAATGAGTGGTCACAGCAGGGCTTCCGACAACCGGCTGGGTGCTTATTTATACAAGTGGAACTTATTTTCACATACATTTAAGGAATGTGGACCTGTATTGAGACAATTTACTGCTGGCGGAAATGTAATTAAAGACTGTGCTAACCAAATAAACTGTAATTTGTTTTTAGTGTGCCACCAAATTATCTGCAAAACAAAATCCTAATTGGGTCAGCTACTTTTAAGACAGTGTTTAAATAGGTATCAAACTCCTTTGGTTCAACTCAACTTCCAATCAAGGGCAGCAACAGTTATTTCTATAAAGACATCTAAAATTCACCCCGCACAAAATGTACACTGGCATGAGCCAGGAGGCTACTTGGCACAGAGAAACTACTGAACAAAGTTAGACTCAGCGCATAATCTAAGTGTTTCTAAACACACTGCAGCACTCCAGGAAGTACTGTCTTCACTTTCTTCTTCGTGCCTCTATTACTCAGAGGTGTTTATCTGCACTCATTCACATGTTCGGTTCCATATGTTCTCAATAGAGCCATTCAAGTCCCATGAATGCAACACCCTGACCCCCCACAAGAGCCAATTGAACGGAATTAGCCACAACTAATTGAAAGTCTTCCTGCTTTAGGTTAAAGCCCTTATCTCCTGCACTTGTAATAAAAACTAAGCAAGACGTCCCATAATAAGATATTAAGTATCCAGCCAATACCCTTGAATCCTACTTTATTAAATTACAGTTTATTAAAAACACAAAGAGCATGCTATTTGATGGTCAGTAATTCCACAATTCATAAATACAAACATTTGTAATAGCACAATCATTGAAAAACAACTTATCAAGGTACTAGACCAACCCTTGACCCACAATTATTACATTTGGATTGACTACTACCGTTGTTTAGGAACTGAGACTTGCTCCTGCCATTCGACTAGGCCCAGATCTGAGACTAAGTATGAACTCCAGAGTCGTTTCTTTTAAACAGGCCTACACTGGTTTAAAGAAAATACAATTTTAAGAAAGTGTTGTTTTACAATGCTCCTACAACCTCAATGAAACTAGAAGCTGGGAGACTAAAAATGAGAGTTGGCAATTGAAAAGGACCAACATCTCCATCTAAATTATATTTTCTTCCTTTTCCTTCCCCACCACAGTTGCCAGTGATTTGGGCTTTTCAGATTTCACAGTTCAAATCCAAGAACTTGCGTAACAAGGCTGGGCGCTCCCCCGAGCTGTCTGGGCGTGCTGAGAAGCTACAGGAACCTTCCCCCTGCTTCTGAAAACTCTAGTTCGTTCTTTTCCGTATCTGTCGATCAGTACCACCTAACTTCTTACTCTTACTACCACGCGTTCCAGTGTGGGCCGCAGGGAGAGTCAGAGTCTACTAATGTGAAATTAAGCACGGGGGAAGGGCAACCAAAGTGTCTGTCCTTGCGCGCACAGAACTGCGTGTTGGACTCCCCAAACCAAAGGCGCGCGTGCACCTACAGGCTGGGGCCGGGAAAGGGGGTCCGATCTAGTTTGAAACTAACGTGCAGCCACCGTCCCACTTAAAACTCAGAAGGAAAACGACCAACTCTGGTCGCCCGCAGGTTGCCATCCCTCCTGCCTGGCCTAGAAGCAGCGCGCACCCCGCCGCTGCCCGTGTCCCCCGCTCGTCCATCTGCGCCCGGATAGGCGCCAGGCGCCCACCTGCGCAGCCAGCCCCGGGAAGCGGAGCCCGCCCAGCCCTTCCGCCCCCACGGAGCGCCGCCCGAAGCCTGGGCCGGGAGCGCTGCCTGGGAAGACGCGGCTCGCCCACCCCGAGCCACCGGCCCTCGCCCGCTCCCGCTCGCCCGAGTCTGGCCGCGCGACCCGCAACACTTACAGCCGAGCGACCCAGGAAGGCAGCGGCTCGGGAAGGCGCGCCAGGCGCCGGCGGCTGCAGTCCAGCAGGTCCCC